AAAACAAAATCCTACTCTGTTACCTAAATTAATCCAAATTAATACTGTTAAATGTACACATATTAAATTAATTTTTAATATTTAATATATCGTAGCAGATTTTGTATTATACCATCAAATAAATAAACTAAAGTGGAAATATTTATTTAGTTTATCGTGTTGATTCTTTTTAGTTGTATGCTTTTTAGTGTGGTTAAAATTAATGATGTTCTCAGTTCTGATTCCTTTAGAGATAATTGGCCAAACAATTAGAGAATTTATGTTTACAAGATTTAAGTTCACAAGATTGGTAAAGTAATAATACAAATTTAAAATTAAGCAACTCACATTTCATCTTTTAATTAATTTTCTAAAATGCATTTCTCTTTTGTCATCTTTCTCCCTGCAATCTTCCCAGGCTAAACCTTTGATTCTTTATCTTCGGCTTTTTCCTTTTTTACAGGCAAAGACAAAAAAGGTGAAAGTACAGAAGTTGTTGAAACAATAAACAACATGTTGAAACACGATGATGTGGCACACATAGTTAAGGTAAAAATATAAAAATAGATTAACAAGGATATAAAATAAATAAGCAAAAACATGGCGCTGAAAAAATTTTGAGAAGATATATTCTATAATTTGTATACAGGTTAAATATAAGACGACACACTTCATAAATATGGAATATATACAAAAAATGTGTGCTACTAGTATACAAATAAAGTAAGAGCGATACTACTAGGATTAGCCGAAAACGTTCCGTTAACAAAAAACAGGATTAGCGAAAAATATTGAAAGAAAAACGAGTTGTTAGTGTCACCTCTTAGACGAGTCTATTTTACCTGTGTTGGGATGGGTGTGATTCTTATTTCTTAGGTTGTGCTCATAATTCGAAAAAATGAGGAAAGGCTAATTAAGTCGCTTGATCCTTTGTAAATGCGTAATTAAGATCTCTAGAGGTGTGTGACTCGTTGACAATGACATGGCACAAGAAGCTGAGCTAAGTAAATATACTCACAAATAGTAAAATCAGCCAACCCGTGGAGAATAGCAGATATGTTGATTTATTCCAATTTGTATCTATTTTCATTTCTCAATGTTGGACGACACACTTAATAAGTATGGTATACAATCAAACAAGGGAAATGTGTGGAGTTAAGGGTTTAAAAAGTGAAGATATTTAATGAAAGAAGTGTATAGTGTCGATTCTTAAGCGAATCGAGTCGTTAGAATACAATTTTGTGCATTTGACAGGTGTGATTCCGAGATTGTCTTCATAGCTTATTATCACAACAAAGATGAAAACCCCTTCAAAGTCTTTGCTTTTAAATGAGAGACGTGTGTAACTTGTTATGAGTACTAGAGAATTATTGGTGTCAGGCAAAGAAGTGTTTTAGAGCTGAGTGGATTAATATTAAACTTGAAAATAAATAAATAATTGACTACAGTAATTATACATATATAGTGTAAAGGGACCCCTGTGTAAATGTACGATTAATATTACAGTTCTAGAAAATGTGTTTATCTTCACGCTACAATATCTGAGGATAGTGGTGTCGGTATCTTTAGATGTTAATAAAAGGTGTTGTCGGTATCTTTGAAATTATTGCGTATTAGCATTGTTTTATCCCTAAAGGCACAAATTGTTCCTTACTTTCAAACGACATTCATTTTCTTCAGAACCTTTAATTATACGATTTTTTTTTCGAACAATCATTTAAATTTACACACACAAGTTGATAAAAAAAAAAAATTATATACACACACACACACAACTTATGTCTATACAATAGTAGTTACTAGTTATAATTTTAGTTACTTTTAAACAGATACGAACCTTTTTTAGTTTTGGTCGTACAAAAAAATTTGCTTGGCTATGAGGAAAAACTCACTTATATTATGATAAATACAATGCAAAACATGGGATTTATTGTTATGAAGATATAACTATAGCAATGAATTTAAAACTATATATCAACATTGCAGTATTGCAATTTTAGTAATGATATAATCATATAAAATTTACATGAAACGTACATATAAAAATTCAGTTATAGCAATGAAGTAAAAAGCAATGCAAATACCTGACCTGATTATTGAATATTTTAACAACTCATTTACTTTTATGGTTGGCGAGACATACTATATTTGGTTATATGCTTAAGGGATAAACTCCAATTAAAACCTTAGTCAAAATACAAAGATAGAAGTTTAGCGATGGAAATAAAAGTTGATGTGCAGTTTAATTAATATTGTGAAAATTTTTAGTCATGATGTAAGAATTACACCAACTTTACGTGTAAGTCATTCATAGTTTCACACACACATCAACTTCCTATATAAACCCAAACACATACCTCAGCAACCAAAAACAAACAAACCAACACATTAGTCCTTTGGAAAACAAAAATGGCGTTTGCGGTATCAAAACGAAACGCAATTATGGCGTTTCTGGTGACGCTACTATTAGTCGTCTCTGTTCCATTGTCTTCGTCCACACTACAACAAGATTTCATGCAGTGCCTCGTCGACAACTCAGACATCTCGTTCCCGATAACGGCGTCGTTTTTCTCCCCCGACCAAAACGCTACTCTGTTTAAAGAGGAGCTTGAGTCGACGGCACAGAATCTCCGTTACTTGACGCCGTCAAATCCGAAACCTGTGTTCATATTCGAGCCTTTGTACGAGACGCACGTTCAAGCAGCCGTCGTCTGCGCCAAGAAGCTGCAGCTTCACCTTCGTGTACGTAGCGGCGGCCACGACTACGAAGGGCTCTCCTTCGTCTCCGAGAACGAAACGCCGTTTGTGATTGTTGATCTGTCGAAGCTTAGACAGATCGACGTCGACTTGGACAGTAACAGCGCGTGGGCTCACGCAGGAGCCACCATTGGAGAGGTTTATTACAGGTAACGCTTACGTATTATTGTGCTATAATTTTTTCTAGGCTAGTTTTTCATTACAAGAAAGAAAAATTTGAAGCATAACACCAAATAAATTATATTGCGCTTAATATATAGTTAATTTTATTTCAGTAACCAAAAAAAATATGTGTCTTGATAATATTATTGATTTATTTGAGTAGAACTTATGTAATATTTTCACTGCAAATAGTAACTGAATTTTTGACGTTTTCAGCAAAAAAAAAAAAAACAGTTTTTAAAAGAAAGAAAGAAAAAAAGGTAGCTACGTTTTTGTTTTCTATAGCCTATTAATTGCCATTTGGAAAAAAATATTATAGTTCCTAACTTTGTTTTGGTGGATTCCCTAGAAACGTGGGTTGAAGGATTACTTATTTTCATTTCTTGTTTTTGTTACAAAGCATTGTAATTAGATCAACTTCAATTTCTTTTATCCATAAGATACTTTTGTCTAAAACCCATTAGATTAGTTATTCCATAAGATACTTTTAGGAGTAATATTTTATCATACCAAACAGAATGAGGTTTACACATAATTTATTGCCGATTCTGATGAAGAATCGCTTTCATAGCAAATGTCGATTTATTCCTTTCTGTTGTTTTATATGAGAACCGGTTCTTATTTAACCATTGTTGGAAACCAAATTAAAATAAAAGCCAAAAACCAACCACCATTGAGATTTCGGTTAACAAACCGGTTTTTCTTTGTGTGGTTTAAAAGGATCCAAGAGAAAAGCCAAACCCATGGTTTCCCGGCGGGTTTATGCTCCAGCCTCGGCGTCGGCGGCCACTTAGTCGGCGGAGCTTACGGTTCCATGATGCGAAAGTTCGGTCTCGGCGCTGACAATGTCCTCGACGCGAGAATCGTCGACGCCAACGGCAAGATCCTCGATCGCGCAGCGATGGGAGAGGACGTCTTCTGGGCGATTCGCGGTGGTGGCGGCGGAAGCTTCGGCGTGATCCTCGCCTGGAAAATCAAGCTCGTCCCGGTTCCGGCGATCGTGACGGTATTCACAGTCACGAAGACGCTTGAGCAAGACGGTACTAAGGTTTTGTACAAATGGCAACAAGTCGCAGACAAGCTTGACGAAGATCTCTTCATTCGCGTTATTATTCAGACGGCGGGCAAAACCACCAAAACCGGAAATCGAACCATCTCCACTTCGTACCAAGGCCAGTTTCTTGGGGACTCGAACCGGCTTTTGCAGGTATAGTGTGGGGTTGCGATTTTAATTTTGCAGAACTTATGGGTCTGGATTTTATTACAGTTCAAGACATAAAACTTTTAGATTTTACAGTTTCGACCCTGAATTTTTAAAACAGGTGATGCAGAAGAGTTTCCCTGAGCTAGGACTGACCAAGAAGGACTGCGTCGAGATGAGCTGGATCAAATCAGTGATGTACATTGCGGGATTTCCAAACAGTGCAGCACCGGAAGCTTTACTCGACGGAAAATCACTGTTCAAGAATCACTTCAAGGCCAAATCAGACTTTGTGAAAGAGCCAATTCCTGTAGAAGGCTTGGAAGGATTATGGAAGAAGCTTTTGCAGGAGGATTCTCCGTTGACGATATGGAACCCTTACGGAGGAATGATGGCGAGAATTGCAGAGTCAGAGATACCTTTCCCTCACAGGAACGGGACGTTGTTCAAGATTCAGTGGCTAACGACGTGGTCAGATGGGAAAGCGAGTGAGGCGAAGCATATGAAGTGGATGAGGGAAATGTATAGTTACATGGAGAAGTACGTGTCCAAGAATCCGAGAGCTGCGTATGTGAATTACAGGGATCTTGATTTGGGGGTGAACGAGGAAGAGAGTGATGCTAGAGAGTGGGGGAGTAAGTATTTCAAGGGGAATTTCGAGAGGTTGGTCAAGATTAAAGGTGAGTTTGATCCTGAGAATTTATTCAGGCATGAACAGAGTATTCCGACAAAGATTGGTTGATATGGAATGTACTTGTGTTGCTTTTAAATGGGTTTTAAGTAAAAAAAAAAATAATATGGATTTGGGTTTTTGTCATAGGGAGCATTTTTCATTGTGTTTTTCTGTCTTCTTGACATGACAGTATTTACTTATGGTGATGTGTTTGGCTTTGTCTGAAAATTGAACTTTTAATAGTTCTAATTTAATACACAAGAACCAGAGTAAAACAGGGGATTCCAATCAAACCATAACAGCTAGAGAATCTGAAAAGCAAGGATTCTCATCATGAACAACGGAATCATCTAACAACAGAGGTTTGTAAGAAATCAGATGTAAAAACTCGTTGTTCGTCGCTCAACAATGAGAACCACTTGGTAACCAGATTGGCTGAAGAAGAAAAGCTTTGGTCACCACAACCTGGAAGCACGATGGTTTTGCCTTGGAAGGCTATTGGGAAATCCAGCTGAAGCGTCTTCAAGAGGGAGCTCACAGTTGCTATCTGGACTGCAAAACCGGCTTTTAGTGTCGTCTCACACTGCAGAAATGCTGACAGCTTCTCTCTCAAATTTGAGATTCCTTCATTTTCATAGCCACCTGCATCCACTCCAATACTGGAACATCCAACCAAAAATAAGAGAGGATATCATGGATATAATTAACATCAGAATGGCCCATCTGTATATAAAGAGACAAGATGATTATATTACCTGCTAAGTTGCCCTAGAAGAGAGACGATTGAAACAGAAAGGTTCATTGGCAATGGCATTCCCAGCATCTTAAGCAGTGGAGCAACAATGTTCGCACTAGTCCAATTCCATTCCTGCATTTTTAGATATAACGATCAAATTGGTTCAATAGACAACAGAAGTTAGCAAAACATTGCGTGAAGGTTCGAAGAGCTCTTGAAAGATTCTCAAACTACATACCATGTAACAAGCAATAAGCTCCACCAATGACAGAATGTCACATAAAGTAACACTTTGATCCCTGGCCAATACGCACTGGAAATCTTTGTGTGCCGGCCTAAACTCGCTCTTCTCGGTCAAGCTCTGATGCAACTTATCATACTGAGTAAACTCCTGAATAATTTCCATGAGCATAGATGCCATAGCTTCCAGCGAGGAAGACCTGTCTGAGAATTGACACTTGTTCTGGCCCGGGTGAAACTTCGCATCTCCCTCCGCAGTACCAAAATGTCTGTTCTCTAGAAACATAACAATAGATTTCAACACTGAAATTGATATGGCATGCTCACTGGAGGACATCATTTTCTCGCCAGCAATGTAAGCAAAAACGTGAAGAATGGTCAGTGACATTGAGGTCTTCTCATGACTGCGCTTGTGCAGGATTTCAAAGGAAGCTTCACGGATAAATTTAACACGATCCAGTGCAGTACACATTGCCGCCAAGATGGCACTTCCAGCCACCAAATGATCTGTTAGAGCGATTCTGCTGAGGAGAGCTACATTTCCTCCATTCAGGGTGACAGGGATGCTTATATCAGATTCAGATGTTTCTGAGGATGTAACGCAATATAATACCCTCTGCTCGGAAAGGAGGTCCTGAAGAAGATTAAAGAGTTCTTCCAAAAGTTCCGAGAGAATACCTCTAGCTTCAATATTAGCCGTAACTACACAAATAAAATTCCAAGTTCAAGATCAAATCAAAAGCAGATTGATGTATTTGGTTTTGAGAAGAAAAAGAAAAGGAACATGGATTTCGGACATACCATCATATATATGCTTTGAGAAAGAATCCAAGCAGGAGCAAGAATCATCATTCAGAGTGTTCCCAATTTTCATCGAGGAAACCACAGAAAAGTTATGTAGCAGCAAGGTGAGGAACACACATACCCTTTCCCTGAAAAAAGAAAGTTCATACATTAGCGCCCAGATACTATTTTACTGATGGAGTAGAAAAAGGTAATATATCTCAACATCATGAATTGAAAAAGCATCAGAGAGCAGAATAACTTACTGGGCTAAAAGGTTTTCTTCCATTTTCAAAGAGAACAGAATAGCGGGCACTACCCACTGTACTGTAGTAACTGATGGGCATCGCTGAACACAATTGTTTGCAGCATGGAAAATTTTGATGATACTATTCTGGTCTTCAATATATGAAAACACCACAAAGTATTTAAGATTATGACCATGCAACGTTGATGATTCAGGGGGAGTTTTGACTGTCACTGAAGCATTCCAAATGTTGAGACTAGACGCTTCACTAGAATTTATGGTGTCACATAAATCCACGATATTACTAGCAACCAAGTCAGCAGGATTTTTGTCCTCATTCACGATCTCACCACCCAAAAGGTCTACCTGAGGAAGATCCGGGGACAGAAGCGATTCTCTTGCCATCCTGTAATAACTTTCTTCTTCCGGTTTATCCAAGTCCAGCAACTTCATATAATCTGTAGCAACAACGTCCCCCAGAAATAATGTTGCCGCATCATGTCCTTTAGCAGTAGACTGGCACATAGTTTTTCCAGTGACCTGTGTACCTCCAGCCTTATTACCTCGAGTCTTGGCTGAACGGTTAAACTCAAGAGAATTCTGCGTAATTTCCTTCTTCTCACAAGACACACTTCTTTTCTTGGCGATTGTACTGCAATTTGCAGAGGAACCACCTACTATATCCGGGACCAAGGTTTCATCCTCTTCTAAAGGCCTATATCCAGTTTCGACTACCATGGAGTGCAAGGTGCCCAGCTTCTCTACATTCTGTAAATTTTTCTTTTTATCATCAGATGACAGATGCTTACGGGACTCAACTGCCACTGACACTCTTTTTCTTTTTCGCGAGAGCTCGTTAACTACCTCATGACTATCTCTCTGACGCTTTTGAGGACAGTTTTCAGCTACCAAACAATGATTCCCATTTTTCCTGATATCGGTTATCCGAAACACACTTGATTTTGTTGGTTGGATATTCGGTTTATCTTTTGCTATTTCCGTTGAAGTAGTAATAGAGAACTGCTCTCTTCCCTGTGAGGCCAGCCTATCAGAAAAAGATGTCTCGCTGGAAATAACTCCAGAAGTCTGCGATTTTCTAGAGCCTCCAGTAGGAGACTCCAATTGAGAAATAGTACCTGAGACAGACTCACTCACGCCATGTCTGGATTTAGCAATTAACTGAGCAGAAAGCTTGCGAGCCTGCTCCTGAGAACCAGAGCTTGCTACCAACTGGCATCTTGCGTCAGAATGCTTTTCACCATTACGGTTCTTCTGGGATTGTGGCATCTGCGGTTTCATGCGGCCCTCCGCCTGCAAAGCATTAAAATGAAACATAAATAGACTAGTAAGAAAATTTAAATGATCAAAAACAGCAGCGTATAAAAGCGATATCATGTTGTCAATGATCCATGTTACGATAGAGGCCACTATTTCAAGGACTAGAAGAGATTAAATCTTTTCACCTTCTACTGTCAGATTCAATGTCGCTAACAACTTCAACGGACTAGAGCCTAAGTGCTCATACTCAGATAACTTCAACCGATTGTTCAGCTAAGTTTAAAATGTTTGCGCCACACGCATAAACAACCTAAGATATTCTCTCGGGAAGACCGTAGGCGTAAATAGACAACATGATTCTTTTTTATTTACCATGGCAATCACAAGCGATCCATCATGAACCTAAAGTCTGAAATCCGGTAACAAGGAAAGTAACTAATGTCAAAACATATCTTTGGTCATCAAGCCAATTTTCAAATTAGGATGAGAAAAAGTATAAAGTTATGGCATAAACAAACCTTGGCAAGACCAGCTCTACCTTCACAGTCTCTTGAAAACCCATCCAGTAGATTCATCCGATGTGTAAGACTACCGAACTCGAGTTTTAACCGACCCAGCTCTTCGGCCTGAATTTCCCTTCGAAATTTTTCAAACTCAGCCACTTTTTTAGAGTGTTTTGCACACTTCCTCTCAAACTTAATCTCTTTTTTCAAAAGCCTCACTTTAGCCTTTTCTATATCTCTGACTTTCTGAGGTGAAACAGAGCAAGTTTTGGTGGAAAGCTCATACATCTGTTCCCTAGCCTTTGCACTCTCCATATCTGCACGTTTTCTTTCTTTCAGTGTCTTTTGTTTTTCAAACTCAAGCTGCTTTTTTACAGTCTCAAGATTGGAGGTCAAAGTAAGCAAATCCGAACTAGTCTTAGTAGCGGTAGTTCTTAGAACCTCTAACTCGGAAAGATACTGATCAGCTTTCTTTCTCTCTGATTCTGCTTTCTTCCTCTCTGACTCTGTCTTCTGCCTCTCGGTTAGCAAATCCGAACTAGTCTTATGAGCGGTAGTTCTTAAAACCACCAACTCGGAAAGATATTGATCAGCTTTCTTTCTCTCTGATTCTGCTTTCTTCCTCTCTAACTCCGTCTTCTGCCTCTCGCTAGCAAGAAGATTTTTAACCACACTAATTTCCTGTTTCGCTACAAGATCGTCTGGCTTGATATCCTCATTTTTAACTATCAGAGCCTTCGTCTTGTTCAATTCTTTACAAACCTTTTCCCTCTCTTCTTCAGAATTATCTGCCCTTAATGTTTCTTCCTTAAGGAGGTCCTTCAGTTCATTGAACTTCTTTTCTCTGCTAGAAGCTTGATCCTGAAGAATTTTGATTTCTTCACTTTTTTCTTTAAGGTTTTGCTCTAACCTTTGTTGCAAAGACAATAACTCAGACTTCAAATCAGAGATTTCCTTCTCCAAAGATGCTTTTACCGCTGAATCATTTTCCTTAGTATCCCTGTTATCCGTCATTTCCCTAAGTTCTGTAAGATTTAAGCAGTGACCAGTTAAAAATCACAACAAGATTGAGAGCTATAGTTATGAAAACATCTTTCTACCCAAGCCACACAGCCAAGTCTTAAAGCATATAGGACATATCACTAGAAGTTAAAGTTAAATCATTCAATTATAATCGCCAAAGACTCGTCATTTGGAAGAATTAATGCTCCTCTAAAATAGATACTTGAGGCATACAACGATAATCTTCCCTAATGTTTATGGCTAACCTCAAAATAGCAAGGCATAAACAGGATCACCATCAAAAAGCAGCAAGCTACTAATCTGACACTAGCTACTTCGATAAAGTGACATACTTTTGCAGCGTTTACCAATATTTATCCCCTAACACCGTTTCAAAGTCCAATTTTTTAAAGCACCTAATATAGCTATCAGCAATACCAATATAGTTTTAATAAGAAGAAAGCCAAGAATTGTATCCACTTACTTTTCTCGAGATTGGCTTTCTCATCAATAGTGGCTGCCATGGCCTTCTGGAGAATATCTCGTGCTTCCTTACAACAATCACGCCTCCTCTTCATAGTTATGTACTTCCCTTGCCACTGAAATACAGTCGAAGGGGATTAAAAAACAAAAAACAAAAAACATTCTTTTGAGAAAATCACTAAAGACCCAAAAAGTATGAAATCGACTATTCAGGAAAAATTAAGTACCGCGAGGCAACAAGGGTTCCCTGGAGAAACCTCAGGTGGAGCATTGGCCGCCATTGCGGTAGAAATCCTCCGATTCTAGAACGAACTCTCACATATATGGAAAATTCCTCGCCATTAAACTGAGACGGAGCGATGAGAGAACCTAATTTCAAAAACCTTAAAACCCTAATTTCAGTGAGCAGAAGATCTGACTGCAGCGTTTGAGAAGAAGGTAGAGGAAGACCGCCAACAATTGGATACTGGGGAGGGAAGGTGCGTGAGTGTTGATTCTAAATTTTTTAACAAGGCCCAGCCCACTATATGTTATCTTTCTTGTATACTATAAAAGTATAAAGTATATATTGATGATTGTGGTTCTACTTAAATTTTACTAAATTGAAATTATTCCCGTTACGCCGTTTGCAATATCTTCTTCTTTTTTTTTGAAATTTTTGTGGCCACAAGGCCCACCGTTTGCAATATCTTCGATGTATGCATATTTGAGTTATAGATTAAATGATTCATAAAATATCATCATATCATGTCATTTTTCCCAAGTCATCCTATTGTAAATGTTATAGAACATTTATGTATAGGTTTTAATTGGATTTTGATGGAAAAATCATAATCATCAAATGCAGTGGCAGAGCTAGAAAACTATTTTATTGGGGGCAAAAATATTCAACTGGAGATATTTATGCTGTTTAGTGTGGGGGCAATTACCATTATTGTTAACAATTTAAACCAATTATTTTTTTTTATTGGGAGCAGTTGCCCCCCACTCATTCTACATGCATCCGCCACTGTCAAATGTTATTTTGCTTTGGTTATCAATTCAGGCAGAAAATGTAATATTACAAATATTAATTATTATTTTACAAATGATTACATGGTCATAAATTGTATGATAAATTAAACAGTACACTATTAAATTTTATCACTTATCTAATTTACTTGATAAACTCTTTCAAAATCAACAATCTCTTACATTGTTTTGACAAAAGTAATTTAGATCGAGTTTCATATATAACAGACTAGTAAATACTCGTAAAATTATCTTTTTCGTTTTCCAACTTAGTACTATTGCTCTCTTTTGGGGGCTTTTGTGGTGGGTAGAGTGCCAAACACTATGTCCCATAACGACGACGTTATACCAAATCCCTTGTCCTGAATCCTGAAGTGATGGTTCAAATGGTATTTCTGCAAAAATCATTTCAAAGAAAACATAACGAACAAGTCCACGGATACAGCTCTATAACCGATTATGTGGACTCTGTTCAGGTCTTAAGTTCGGATACAAAAGAAAAGAAAGATAATCCATGGTTTAAAGGACAAGGATTGCTTTACCTTGAGATTTTTGGTCACTGGTCTAGTTGGTTGGGCATGGTGAAGGTAGTAGTGAGTGACATCGTACATCACGTACCCGAGCAAGCCGCCTCCAAACAACGCTGGTGTGGTAGAAGGAGTTGCAAAAAGCTTCACAAGGTTCCAGAACTGGTGGGACACAAGAAAAGAAGACGGTTTAAGGTTTATTTGTGAAAACAGGTATAATGGTGGGACAGTGTAGATGATTAAAATGCATACAGGAAAGCATAAAATTGCCGTTGCGGTAGGAGGAAAGACAAGTCGAAGGTGGTCCATTGGGTGCTTGTGATGGCATCCATGAAGAAGATAGTGTGCAGTGTTTCCCCTGTAATGATTTTACAATAACATTAGCATCTGACCGGAATCAAATTTCCAGGAATTTCATCTAGTTGAAGTGAGTACTTATGAAATGAACAGAGAGGGAGAGAGTGTGTGTGTTTGTGACTAACCAGTAACTCTTCGTTTTTATGTGGAAAAGGAATCGGTGAAGAGTGTATTCTATAAACGTCCAGATAAATATTCCCAAGGCTACCATTGAAACGATTTCTGGAAGTGAACGGCCCATGCTTACTGACATGGAGATGCACCAGACTACAACTGGCAACCAAATGACAGGAATTGCCCACCAGACTGTAAGGGTCAAGAACTGTTCCATTGCAAATATGTCAGATGATAGTGATCAGAGGCTTATTTATTGACATTGCCTATTCTTGAAAAGTTTTTATGGATAACTGGAAAATGAGAAAGAAACAGATATACCTCCCAAAAGTCACTCTGGAAGAACCGAGGGCCTTCCTTTGTCACAATAGGTTGATGAACCCATTCCTCGTAAGCTTCTCCAAGATGACCAACCTGTAAAACAACGACCAAGAGGGGTTAGCAACGGGAAATGACTTTAATTAACTCTAAGAAATAAGAGAAAAAAAAAAAAAAGTCTCGAGGCAAAATTGACATAGACTATTTAAGTTGACATAAACAGTATTTACCTGAAATACAAGGGGCTTGTTAAGATCCACAGTGAATCCCTGAGCAACCATTTTGTAGACCTTTCACTGAACTGAAAAAAATAAAGCAAACAGGGATATCAATAAAAAGCTAGACATGGTGCAACGCTCTTACGTCTCTGCAACTCTTCACTAGTCTAATTCCCTTTTTTAGCTGAAATATTGTTATTCATAGCCTGAATCTTATGCATCACTTCTTAAAAAACAACATTGGTCTATTGATTAAGTTAAAGGTTATTGTTCTTGTATAGGATACCAAAACAAGGTATACAAATAATACTAACTGGTCCCACGACATTACCAAAAAAAATTGAAATCCTAGCACAGGGCACAAAATCAAGTGTTAGTTGAAATCCAAGGACCCACCACCAAATACATAAGCATCAAAAATATGCAAGGAAACAAAACACAAATCACACCAAAACTCACTATCTGCCAGGTTCTAAACATCAGTTCTTGTTTGCTTTGAGACACACAACCTAAGAAAAAAAAAACTCCTATGCCAGAACCATTAGAGAAAAAAAATGGGAACTATAGCTTAATCGAAGTTCTTCTCATTAAGCCATTCACGTGTGATTATTATACAACTCAAACGCAGTGGGGTTAACTGATAAAACATCTAACCTATAAAACTCTTACCAGTCCGAGACACCTTCCAATCTCCAACAATTAAGCATTTTCTTTGGCCAAATCAGCCTTCAACAATGCGTAAATCAAGTTCTGGAGACATATGATTCGTTGATTGAAGGATGGAACAAATATTCCGATATAAACACTTAACACCAACTCAAAAACAAACAACCTATCTATCCAATTCTCAATGTCGCAGAAAATGAAATCTATAAATCGAGGAGAAAACAAAACACGGATTCAAAAATCACCAAGCGACGAACGAGAGAGAGTAGAAAGCAACAATACCTAAATCGAGAAATGCCGGATCTCAGCGACTCTGACGAAACGACAGCCGTCGGAAGACGAGAGAACCGCCGGAGATTTTTGTTCGCCCTTATTTTCTGTGGTTTTTTGCGTTTTGGGGTGTATTTGATGGGGACAAGGAGGTCGGTGATTGTTTCGGTAAATACATCTTGTAGAGGAGCTGGATCGAATCTGGACCGTTGGTTTAGAGAGACGCCTTAGATCTCGGAGGAAGATTCAAAAGCCAACGAATCGTCGATTTCAAAAATCAAAACCAACGGCTGTGCCAGGTTGTTTCTCCTTTGGCTCTTCTCATAGATTAGCTGTAACATTGCACGTTGTAAAAAAAGCCATTTTAATTTTTCGGTCACAAAAGAAATTCAATGTAAAAGATAGAACCACTCATAGATTGTGCAGAAGAACATATGATTTTATCGTTAAAATATTTTTATAATTGATTGGATGTGTCTATCAAGAAAGAATAACAATGACTAGTAATGAGAAAGTTATATAATATTATTTGGACCCATTGGCTTACATAGCCTTCGTTCCCACTTGGAGTTCGGATCCTTGAGGAGATTAGTCTCCAACTCCAGTCAGGTTCAGGTTAGGTGGCATTGCCACTTGACCAAAGTGTCGTTATATAAAAATTATATTTGTTCCAAATATATTTTATGCATGTACAGCAATTGAACTGTATCGCATTTTTAAACCGTTTTTTCCGCACAACCAAAAAACAACCAAAAACGCTGTTACCATTCATATTTTTAATTTTTTTTGGTCGAAAATTATTTTCTTAATTTTATTTGACAAATACCATTCTTTCAATGCATATCTCAATATTTGGCATTTAAAAATCTCGAATCATTAGTGATTTGATGATTTATAATTCTCCAAAAATATTGTTTAGCTATTACGGACAACTTGAAAATTTCTCCAACCGGGCACAAATCATCTCACAAGTTGGCCAAAAATTTCGTGATCCTAGTCCTATTTTAAATATCGGGTTTATTTTTAGAGACTGTAAGTTCTTTTTCTATTGTATGTCGAGTCATTTGTCATGGTGTTTATGAATGCATGTGTTATGTGGGTAACTAAATCGTCATTTTCCAATTAGTATAGTCATGAAAATGATTAGTGAGTGATTACGCAAAAGTTGTTTGTGGTGGAAAATTTAAGAAACTGTGTGTTGTATTGTATATTTTTGATATGTGAAGTGTACCATCTGATACAATTAATTTTGTTTTAGCACTATATTAATTTTTTCGAATATTTTTACCTTTTTTAGCAAAATGCCTATATAAAGTCTATTATCTAAGTCCCTTTGGGGACATCCGATAAAAAAAAGTCTATTATCTACAGAAGAATATAATCACAGCTTATACATCGTAACGATCAATTGGTAAACCTGTTAATAGCCCCTGGCCACTGCGGTCCACTTTGCATGGCTAGTTGGCTACAATACAAAAGATGTAAATCATAAGCGGTAACCGGTTGTGCATCAATAGATTCAGTACAAAACAATTAATTCTAACCATTTTACAATATAACCCACGTGAAAGTTAATGATTATGAAGTCCCCATAAATATCTCTTTTTGAGTAAAAGTACTTACTTAAATCAAAGATTGGCCGCTAGGATAATAATAATAATCATACTTTTGATTGTTTATTGAGTAAAATCCACATTATTTGATATGATTGATTGATTAATATGCGTTTTTGGATTTTGATGCGGTCTCTTATGACGTAGAAATAGAATACTCCAACAATATGTGGCCAGTCACGTGAATAACCTCAGTTGGCCTCACTGTATTTAGCTTTGATAAAAAACATTTTTTTTTTGGCTAGAAGAAACAATAACATTTCTCTAATGCTTAAGATCCAAGATTTACCAAATATACGACTGAGAAAAAAAATTATACTCAACCAACTTTCATTTGAATTGTTTCAAAAAAACGAGACTAGTTCGAAGACATACTGGCGGGCCGGCGGCACGTGCTTTATCTTCTAAAAAAAGAACATGGTAATCATAACTCTCAACCCTAAACAAAAAAAAAAAACTCTCAACCTAATTATTGTTGTGTGTAGTGTATATATAAGTATTAAAGACCATAAGCAGCTTGATAATAAAACTGTTTCATTTCATAATTTGTTAAGACGTTTATGGGCACGTAGGATGTTTTTTCAACCAACTATGGAACTGTGGAAGTAGAGGGAGAGTGATCACCAACAAATTATAAACCATCTCATCTGCAACTACAATTGGTTATTTGATTTGGAAAAAAAAAATTATATTAAAAAAGACCTAATAATTAAAGTTTGTATAAGTATCAACTTTCAAGTGTGACAAGATCACAACAACTGATTTATATGATAAATTAATTAGTTTTGCAATCTATCCATCTTCCCTATCCTTTTCTACAGAACAGTCACTATTACAGCTCATTCCAAGACAGAGCAACCAACATTTGTTTTTTGGAAAGAAAAAACTAAATTAAATAGTGAACAAAAAGTTTCAATTTTACCTAAAAAATCCCTAAAAATTTAGCCTTCTTTTTTTTCTTCCTTTCGTATATAATCGGTGGTACCCTTCCAAATTCTCTAAACAACCCTCTTTTGTTTCTGATCATCGTCTCGAGAAACAAACGCAGAGGATTTCTCTCGCGAGCCCAAATCAATTCCATTCAAAAATAAAAATTCCCGGCAAAAATGAGAGAAATCCTTCATATACAAGGTGGACAATGCGGCAACCAAATCGGAGCCAAATTCTGGGAAGTGATCTGCAACGAGCACGGGATTGATCCGACGGGAAAGTACGTCGGCGACTCCGATCTGCAGCTGGAGCGAATCAATGTCTACTACAACGAGGCAAGTGGTGGAAGGTACGTACCACGTGCCGTCCTTATGGATCTGGAGCCTGGAACCATGGATTCCATCAGATCTGGCCCATTCGGACAGATTTTCCGGCCAGATAACTTCGTCTTCGGCCAGTCCGGCGCCGGAAACAACTGGGCCAAAGGTCATTACACCGAGGGAGCCGAATTGATCGATTCCGTGCTCGACGTTGTCAGAAAGGAGGCTGAGAATTGCGACTGCTTGCAGGGTAACAATCATTCATTCTCTCCCTCGATTCGAGGTTAAATCCGCTTTGTGCCTTTTCATTGTTGCCAAACGAATTGTATAGAGCTGTGAATTTGGTTTGTGTTCTTAATATTGAAGCGTTGAACGAATTATGCTTAGTGATGGAAATATACAAATCTATAGCTTTAATCTTTTGAAGAGAGGGCACTGTTGTGTCATGATGATTAGATTTTTTCAATTAGCAATTGGAAATACGAAATTGTAATTTAAAAACGTTTGTTTCGTTTTCCCCCTAATGCTTCCATAGACATCTTTGTCTGTTCTTCTAGTTCCATGATTTTAAAGAGTTTGCTGTAAATTTCTTGAACAGGGTTTCAAGTTTGCCACTCATTGGGTGGAGGAACTGGCTCTGGAATGGGAACACTTCTTATCTCCAAGATAAGGGAAGAGTATCCAGATCGTATGATGCTCACGTTTTCAGTATTCCCATCTCCTAAAGTCTCTGACACAGTCGTGGAGCCGTACAACGCTACTCTCTCCGTGCACCAGCTTGTCGAGAACGCTGACGAATGTATGGTTTTGGACAATGAAGCTCTCTACGATATCTGCTTCCGCACCTTGAAGCTAGCCACTCCAACTTGTAAGTCATGTCTAGTTGCGTTTAGAAGAATAATGTTTTAAAGCTTAATTATTTTGGAGATTAATTATGAGTTTACTGACTGGATTAGATTTTGAAGCCCTCGTCTTACCCTACGAAAATCTCAGAATAGGTTCGTCTAGAGTAAGGAGTAATAACTTGAAAATGATGTATTAAAGTAATCTAATTTAGATTTTACCTCTCAGCTTAATAAATAATTACAAGTGGAAGTGGTATTAGTTGAGTTGGTCTCCTGTCCTTGTCTCTTTTAAGACTAGACTAGTCTTAAATGTTCTCTTTTCTTATCACCAAGTCACTAACAAACAACTTCAATAAATTGGTTGACAGTTGATTTGCATCACGCATAAACTCTTATCTTATTATTAAAGATCAAAAGCATATGTAACACTAATCTTGTTTCTGCTTTGTTCATTCGCAGTTGGAGATCTAAACCACCTGATCTCTGCCACGATGAGCGGTGTCACATGCTGTCTTCGTTTCCCTGGTCAGCTTAACTCCGATCTCCGCAAGCTCGCGGTCAACCTCATCCCATTCCCTCGTCTCCATTTCTTCATGGTTGGTTTTGCACCTCTCACATCCCGTGGCTCGCAGCAATACCGAGCCTTATCAGTCCCCGAACTGACCCAACAAATGTGGGACGCCAAGAACATGATGTGTGCCGCTGACCCAAGACACGGACGTTACTTAACCGCATCAGCAATGTTCCGTGGCAAAATGAGCACTAAAGAAGTGGACGAACAGATGATCAATGTCCAGAACAAAAACTCTTCATACTTTGTTGAATGGATCCCCAACAATGTCAAGTCCAGTGTCTGTGACATTCCTCCAAAGGGTCTCTCAATGGCATCCACTTTTATTGGTAACTCGACTTCGATCCAGGAGATGTTTAGGCGGGTGAGCGAGCAGTTCACGGCCATGTTCAGGAGAAAAGCTTTCTTGCATTGGTACACAGGAGAAGGTATGGACGAGATGGAGTTTACTGAAGCAGAGAGCAACATGAACGACCTTGTGGCTGAGTATCAGCAGTACCAGGATGCTACAGCCGATGAGGAATATGAAGAGGAGGATGAAGATGAAGAGCTCGCTGCTTGAGATTCTTAGATCTTTAATTGAGTTTTTACCAAAAGAATATTTTTTCCTCGTATTTCGCTGGCTTTGATTGCTCTTTGTCTGTTATTTACGGTATTGTTTTGGGTGTAAATTGTAATGAAAACTTAATTGTGGGTGTGTATGTAAACAGAGATGAGGTTCAAATGCTAAAATGCCATAAATCGCTGAAGAAAGAGCCCAATCCCATCGTTCGTATAATCAATTCCTTTTTGATTTTTTTTAAATAGCAAAAAGGTGGTTGTTTACTACCTGAATATTTCGTTAATTACAACAATACCTGGGTATTTGGAAAACCCATCCAACTAAAATCGGATTCGACCCACATTTCTTTGTATTTATCCTAATTTACTTTACCATTTTATCAGTTCCTGGAAAAAAAACCTCTATACAGTAATTGAAATTCGAAAAAAGATTTGAGAGAGTTTATCGGCGTAAAATCCGGCGAGTGTTGATAGAAGTTAACCGATTGCGTTCGTTTTATTTCCACTCCACCATCTACAACTTCCGTTTTAATCGATTTCTCCATCTTCGGTTCGTTACGACTTCTCCATGACTCGTGTGAAACAAAATGGCGTCGAGTATGAGTCAACTGAAAGTCGGAAAACGTTGCCTGAAACGGAATCGCATTCTCAAGCCGCAGCGAGAGAATCTGAAGTAAATCCTGAAGCCGCCGATAAAGAGAAAGGAAATATTCCTCAAGCCGTTGTAAACCCAAAGACAAGCGAAGATGTTTGTAGTTCAGAAATAGAAATGGAGAAGAAAACCTCTCCGAATCCTATCGAGGAGACCGCAGCCCAAAAAATCCCCACAGAAGATGAAACCGAAACGATAAACCCCATGGAAGAAGAAGAGGAGGCTGAGGGTGATGAAGCAGACGATGGAAAGGAGGAGGGTGAAGAAGAAGAGGAGGGAAAGGAGGGTGAAGAAGAAGAGGAGGGAAAGGAGGAGGGTGATGAAGAAGAGGAGGGAAAGGAGGAGGGTGATGAACAAGATTCGGGAAATGAAGAGGCTGATGAACAAGAGGAGGGAAATGATGAGGCTGAAGAAGAAGAGCAGGAGGCCGAAAAACAAGAGCAGGAGGCTGATGAAAAAGAGGATGAGGCTGAAGAACAAGAGCAGAAGGGTAAGAACAAGAGCAGGAGACTGGATGTTATCGAAGTAGAAGTGTCGGATGTTGCAGTTTATCTTGTTTTCTGGATGTTATGTTTTTCTTTTAAGTTGCAGGTTATGTTGTTTGCGGATGTTTAGTTTATGTTGTGGATTTTATGTTTGATATTCGAATTTGGACATTTGTTTGGATTTGGGACATATTAGGACAATAATGGTCAACTCTTTGGGATTTGGGACAATAAAGAACAACAAGGTTAAACGGTGTATGACAATAAAGAACAACAAGGTTAAACGGTGTAGGACAATAAAAGACAACAAGGTTCAACAAAGTAGTTCAATACAGGACAACAAAGTTAAACGATGTAGGACAATAAAGGACAACAAGATTCAACAAATTAGTACAATAAAGGACAACAAGGTTCAACAAAGTAGTTCAGTAAAGGATAACAAAGTAGTTCAATAAAGGAAAACATAGTTAAACGATGTAGGACAATAAAGGACAAAGGTTCAACAAACAAAGACAACGATGTAGGACAAGGTTCAACAAACAATCTTGAGCTTCAAACTTCCTTCGAGCAACTCTTCTTGGTCACAGCAGCCTCAAGAGCTTCAATTCTCGAGATAATGACATCAAACAAAGACTTCATCTCCTCTTGAGTTTATTTTACCATTTCAATCTCTTCAACTATAGCAACCATAAAAACAACCAAAGTACCTACATCCCCTATCTAACGCTGAATGGTCGGTTAAACAGCCAATTGGAGCAATTCCGTGGTGGCAAACCTTGGGAATTCCCATCTGTCTGGGACATGGAAGAATGGTGCGGACTCCATTAACTTCGGGCCCCCACCTGGTGGTCATGCCGTAATCCTTCGGCGGAAAAGCAGTCTTTTTTAGGAAGATTCCTTCTTCGACATTATCTTAATCTTGCGAAATTGCTCTGCGGCTGAAACCCTAAAAAAAGGAGGAAGTGCTCAGTAGAATATGAGGAAGAACAATTTAAAGAAAAGAGATTTTAAAAACTATTTAATTATTCTGCCGCCATAGTAAACACATGTGCTTCACGTGCAAATATAATATGATAAGGGTTATCATATAGTTGTACGTACTTGTATTGTTGTCCAATATTTGTAAGAGTTGTACTTTAAGCTTTTTCAAATATTTCCAGTTGATCCATGACCATATACACATATTGTAGTTGTTCATATTTGTTTGAAGTTTCATACCACAATTAAAAAGTCTTGATTAATCCGTTTTGATTAAATCCAAACATTTGCATTTATCCATCATCATGTGATGAGTATTAGTGAAGACTCTCTTGTTTTATAAGGAGTGTTTAGTGTCAAACCAATATTATGACTCTAAACTTATAATTTGTTATCCCATTTTCTGAAGCTTCCTTAAAACCTCATTTTATATGTATTTCATAGTTGTCTAAGGTTTGTACTAAACCCCAATTTCATACATATGAAAAGTCAATTGTACATCACAAATCCAACATAGTTGTACTAGTTGTACTCGTTGTCCAGTTGTCCCAATTTCAAACAAATGATTCGTCACTTGTACATCATAAATACAACATAGTTGTACTAGTTGTCCCAATTTCAAACATATGATTCGTCAATTGTACATCACAAATACAACATAGTTGTACTAGTTGTCCAGTTATCCCAATTTCAAACATATGATTCGTCAATTGTACATCACAAATACAACATAGTTGTACTAGTTGTCCAGTTGTCCCAATTTCAAACATATGATTCGTCAATTGTACCTCACAAATACAACATAGTTGTACTAGTTGTCCAGTTGTCCCAATTTCAAACATATGATTCGTCAATTGTACCTCACAAATACAACATAATTGTACTAGTTGTCCAGTTGTCCCAATTTCAAACATATGAAACGTCAATTGTACATCACAAATTCAACATAGTTGTAATAGTTGTCCAGTTGTCCCGATATCTAAACATATGAAACAAATGAAAATGACAACATACGTACATAGCTGTCTAGATGTCCTAAAACATGATTAGATAAAAAAAACACAGTTGTCCAGTTCTTCGTGGGTTACACCTGTTGGTCATTTGTTTTTGGACTAAACTCCTGGGTTACACCTGTTGGTCGTTTGTTCCGTGAATAATATCCTCCATACTCAAAATTTATGTTGGTGTGGCCAATGCTCATTATATCCTGGTATACGTAGCAAATAAAAAATCATATTACCAATTACGTTTCACAGTTATACCTTTTATACTAGTTGTTCTGAATTTCTCACTATAACATTTGTACCAGTTGTCCCACATTATCAGTCTTAACAGAGACTTGTACTAGTTGTCCCATAATTATCAGTTCTACCATTTGTACTACTTGTCCCGTATCTTTTACTTATACCTTTTGTACCAGCTATCTAAATTCCCAAACTTTCTTGGCTAAAATCTTTGGTTTCACATCCTCGTTTCACATCTACCAAACAGATTCAACACTAAAAATCGACAAATTAACATCGATTCGAAGAGAACTTAACCAATAAACAACAAACTTAGGCAATGTACATAGTTAAACGACCACCAAACAAACAAAAAAAACTCCTAATTTATAAATCCCCAAAATACACACCACCATACCTTTTCGAAGTCTTCTCACACAAGTGGCAGGATAAGAAAGAGTAGTTAAACAACAAAAAATAGCCGGCGCCAGCAAACGACGGTGGTTCGAATCAAGCTCCCTGCGGCGAATGTGTACGAAAACCTAGCTCGGGGAAGAAGAAGCTTATTGGCAACTTTTAAAAAAAAAAAAAATAATAAACGATTTTAAATAAACGATTTTATTTAATTTTATAATAAGTTCATTAAGGCTAAAAACGTCAATACACAATAATTTATGGCATTAGATTATGTTATGGTAGGCGAGATTTTTTTTTTCTCCCTTATGGCATCTGAGCCCCGCGCTCCGTTTGGTCCTAATGTTTCTCGTCTCGGTATATATATCAGGTTTGGTTTGGTTTGGTTTAAGTAAATTTCCTGACCGTCTCTAGTCTTAACCAAAACAAGCAAAATTTTTAACCAAAACAATTTTGTTTTCGTCTGCAAGTTATTTTCGGGTTGTTTGGATGAATAACAGAAGAATAGCGGAATAACCGAATCATATCATGACATGATAGAAGTAAGAAAAATTGTGAACTGAACTTATTTAAAATGTGAGATGTTCTTAAAATACGAAAAACGATTACACTTTTCTTTATATTAGCCATAGTTTCAAAAATTGCATAACAAAATTCTAAGCTTTAAGTACAAAATGTTATGAATGGTATCTAACCGTGAAAACAAGAAAATTATACATACCGTTTTTCATTTTAAATTAGAAAGAAAGAGTTGTAAAAGAAAAGGGAAAAAAAAACTCGAAGCAACAAAAAGATAGAGGTTTACCAAAGGAGTATTGTAGTCGGCTTCCAAAAAATAAATCGGTAAACATATAAGAGACTTAAAACTACAAGGACTACACGAGGAAATAAAAGAAAAAGAAGAAATAGGGGTCTTTTCGTAAATAGGAGGAGACAGTTATAAGGGTTTGGCGGAGTGATGCGGCTCTTTCTCTTCTTCCCCAGCCTCCTTCCCTCCCTCTATCTCACTCGCAGAAGCTGTTTTTCAAGGTGAGAAGCAGAGCTACTTCGATTATTCAACTTTTTCATCTCTCTTAGCCTTTGAATTTGGTGTATTTATGGTGGTTTCTGCTGGAAAAGCTATAACCTTTCGAGGATTTAGGGGGTTGAATTCTCTTATGGGTTTGTTTTAGCAATTTGGTTTTTTCGTGGTCTAAATTCGAATTCTACTTTTCCCGATTTTGTTTGTAGTGGGTGTAATTGACTCTTTTTTGGTGCCTTGATTGCATGTTCATGTGGAAAGTTGATAGATTCATCCTTAGTTTTCTTTTCCATTAGGAAAGTTCTCCTCTTTTCTCCTGTTTACTGCTTTGGGTCAAATTATAAAAGAGAAAGATTTGTCCTTGTTTTGGGTCTGGATTCTGACAGCTCTAGTGTTGCATTTTGGTAGCGTTTTACTTCTGACTTAGTGAAATAAAGACACTCTTGGCCAACTTGAAGCAGCAGCAACAGATACATAAAGTATAGAGAGGATGGGAGCAGCAGAGGTTCAAACTGACCCATCGAGCCTATATGAGGCGGACTATGTGGGCAACGTTGATTTGTCGGACACGGAAATGGTGCATACCGTGAGAAATGCACTTGCATCTGTCCAAACTGTGAGTTGTTGTTGTACAAGTGTTGCTTCTTTATATACATATATATGTTGATGCTATCTGTCTTTATTTTTTCTGATAGTAGTTTATTCCCTTGCTTATGCCAGGGGGAATCAGACCTCTACAATGAGCTTGTTGGAGTTATGCACATCAAAGAATTTTCTAATCCTGCAGTGGCACAGCTTGAGGTGTGTTCTATACTCCTATTCTTTGTACGACAATCAATTCTTGTTTCAGTTTTATCTCTGTTTGCTCAAGTGTTTTCATTTTTGTTTGGCAGATAATCTTGAAGGCTTTATCAGGGTCTGTCGCTTGCATAGATATCACTCACCATCGAAAGCTGCTTTCTTCGGTAACTTTCTATTGCATGAGCTCTACTCTAATCAGTAATCAAACTAGTTTAAGATGGATCTCCCACTTTTTACCTTGGATTTCATCCCAATTCTTTTGTTCAGATTTTTGGAATGTCATTGTGGGACCTCCAACCTTATGTCATGGATGCATTGGTGGACCTAGTCATATCACTGGTACACAACTCTACAATTACTCTCATGCCGACTATTATTTTATCTGGATGAGGAGCTAAGACCATTTGTTTTTTTTATCACAGGCTGCCACTAGTGGAAAGTATCTAGACTCTTGTCTGAATATGCTCATAAGCAACTTCATTCCACCGCGTTGGGCAACAAATAAACTTTCCAACTCCCGTGTAATCGACAAAATGACCGACAAAATGACGGAAGTTTTTTCTCGGGTTCATGAAGCCCTTCTGAAAATCTCTCTTTTGGTTCCTCTTGCTCCCTCGAGATTATTGCCCATGCTCGCCCAGAGAATGCCTAAATCAAACAAAAATGACCAGGTGAGTCTTTCTTTTTGGTAAATTTTCGAGAAGTTAGTGGCAAGCTTATGCTGGCGATAAACACAGTAAGAAACTATCTTACCGTCTTGCAGGTGGTAAGGATATATGTAAAGAACTTATTAGAGTTGGAGAATAGTCCAATCGGGCAAGTTGGCGGCCGCATGATTCTTATGATGGTTATGGAGAGGCTGCGAGATTTGGATGTAAGTACAGAATATGTTTATACAAATGATGCCATTAAGTAACGTGGTAAGTGAATGATATGCTGGTTTATCCTTGTAGTTGGAGATTGGATGGGATGATATTCTACAAGATGACTCTAGTAGAGGCATGTTTGATATGGAACTTGAAGATGCAGTTGAAGGCACTATGAATGAAGGAGACGAGGTAGGCCTAGTGTTTGTTTTGACTAGTTATGTTCTCTTTTCGCATAGTTGCTACTTGCTAGATTATAAGTTAGTGGAAAACTCTCTTTTCGCCGGACTGAGAGTTTGGACTTTGATATATCTATTGCAGCTTCCAGTGGGATCTGTTAATCAAGATACATCAGGTGGAGATATAATGTCCGAGTGTTTGGACAAATTGATGGTCATATCATTTGAACATCTTGAATCCTGTCAAAATGCTGGTCGTTTGGATCAGGTATGGTACCAAATAGCTTCACTGACATAGTTATGCTTTCCTTCATGTACTCCTGAATCTTCTTTGCTGATTTGTGTTTGATAATTTGGCAAGGTGTTTGAAAACCTCTTCGCGTCATTTGAGAACTTCATTCTGAATACATACAAATCAAAAGTTTCCCAGGTATGCCACATAGCTATATCACTTTTAGATCATTCTAGACTTTTAGCGACTCTGGTTCACGGTCCACATGAGATGTCTCATGGTTATACTCACTTTTGCTTTCTTCTGCAGTTTCTGATGTTCTATGCATGTTCACTGGATCCTGAGAATTGTGGTGCGAAATTTTCGAGTAAGCTGGTGGACATTTTTCTCTCCAGCAACAAGCCTCGACCTACTAGGCAAGTTTCACTTTGTCCTTTAATGGTCAAATTTTCTCATTCTCTGCATGGTATCTCTGTTGTTGTTCTAATGACAACTTGGTTGTGATTTTGTTTCTCCACCTTTTTATAACAGGATGAGTGCGGTGGCTTATCTAGCTAGCTACTTGGCTCGTGCAAAGTTTTTGCCTGTTTACTTTGTGGCTAGCATGTTGAAAAGGTTAAAAGCGACCGCTAAAAAATGTTACCTCAAGCATAACTGTTTCGTCTGATTGAAGCTTCAGTCTGATGCAACATTGATTTTGTTGTGTCTAAAATATTTTAGGTTGGTAGATGAGTGTGCGGATTACTGCAGAACTTGCAATGATGATATTAGGCCTGAAGCACATCAGATTTTCTACTCCGGATGCCAGGTAGATATATTGCTTTCAATCCGCAGCTTCTCCTGTCACGAAATTTTACAATCATAACGTCGCTATTTCATCCTCCAAAAATCTTATAACAATTGGTTAAACCCTTGGTTCTGTTTTGTGAATTCAGTCGATCATGTACGTGCTCTGCTTCCGGATGAGATCCATCCTGGATGTTCCTCACTTTCGGACCCAGCTTATACCGTTGGAGTCAATTTTGATGCACAAACTAAACCCATTGATGGTGAGTTTTATACTCTGTTCTCATCTGGTTTTTCTCATAAGTTCAATTGTTTGTTCGAGCTGTTCCAAAGTATCAAATGCATAATAAGAACCATTTCTTTTTGGAGAATAGGTATGCCTTCCATCCGTAGTTGCAGAGTTCCTTAGACAAGCTAAAGCAGGTGGCCTGTTCATCGTGTCAGACTCCTTCATCTTCGATGACCTACTTGAGTCTGAGCTTTCCCGTGCTTTTGGCGGGTGTGAGCGGCTTGATACATTCTTCCCCTTTGACCCTTGCTTGCTAAAAGACGCTAACAGGTTTATCGCTAAACCCTTTCAGTATCTTCATTTTTTGTGTGTTTCGTTCTCAAATAAAGCATGAATCATTGAATTGTAAATCAAGGTTAATGGTTTTGATTTTGATTTTAAAAGACTATCCTCAAAATGGTGGTTGTGTGTTATTTTTGACTCTGTTTCTGCGGTTTCTTGGTTGATCTTGAAGCTTTATATCCCCGAATTTCAACTATTGGTCAATGGTGAAAGCGACCTATGACGAAGATGATGATGAGGATGATGAGGATGATGCTGAGATAATTGTGAACGGGGATGAGGAGAGTGATGAAGAGGACGAGGCTGATCTTGATTACGCCATGAACAAGATGTCCATAACGCCTAAGCACTCTTTCAAGAACAAGATGGAAAGAGACAGACTTATGAAGATGCCTTCCAGAATCAGACCTTCCACTAGTCCTGAATCCTTGTGAGTTTTGTTTTTGGTGGGGGGGGGGGGGGCTCAATACGCATTTTTGTAGCAATATGTAACAGTGATTCGATTCGACTCAACTCAACTCGGAACTTATTAATACATGAAATGAAACAATGTTTGTTTGTCTTAAAATCTCTTAAATTGTGATTCACCTGAAGAAAAAGATTACACTAAACGCAACCGATGGGTTTTTGATTAGTTGAAGGAAACAACAACACAAGAGATATCATCTTTACTTCCTCTAGCCAACGCTTCATCGATTAGTGACCTCGCAGCTTCCTCTGCATTCCCAATCTCTTTGATTTGATGCCAAGCCTCTTCGTTTGACATCACCTGATAATAAAACTCATCAAGATTTTAGTCCAATCTTTCTTAAATTTTTAGACCATTCATGAACAGAACAAACCTTCCAGAGTCCATCGCTTGCCAAGATCAAGAACTTTGTGTCACTAAGGATCTCGACAATCTCTATGTCCGGTCTCGCACTAATATGCTCTTTAAGCCTTCCGTCTCCAAACGCACGTGTCATCGCTAATTGTCCATCGACCCTTGCATCATTATCTAATCATAAAAACGTAAACTTATATTCTTGGTATTTCAGTTAATCATCACCAAAGATACACACTAATTGGAGTGAAAATGGACCTGGGTTTTTGGAGACAAAACCGCCTTTGCTCTCAACAAGGTCTCTCTCCTTCTCAGGCTCATGATCAACTGTAATCTGTTTGGCTACATCACTTTTACGACACAAGACTGCTCTTGAATCTCCAACGTTTGCAACCACAAGTTTCTTCCCGTCAATGACTATAGCCGTAACAGCCGTAGAACCACCTCGTGGACCTACTACGTTATGGAGAATGTAGTCGTCCGTAGTTTTATAAGCTCTCTTCGTTGCTTCCTGAGGGTTTTTCCAAAAATCCGGCTACAAGAAAAAAGCAACAAAGCGTCTTAAAAAAAAAAATTTGTGAGGAATAAAGTGAGTGATTGATTGATTTTTGTTTATGAAACCTGACTCAAGATGTTATCAAAGAGGTGGTTCTTCAAGTAATCCGCAACATCACGGCCTGAGTGTCCGTCGAATATAGCGTATAACCCAAGATTGTGGCCTTTAACCGTTTTTGTATCAGCCACAATGTAGTCTTCCATGCCATGACCCATTTGGCCTTTCACTAGATGGTATCCATGACCAAACCCACGTCTACAATATTTTTTACCTTCCTCCTCCTCCTCCTCCTCCTCATCATCATCATCATCATCATCATCATTATTATCATGAGGCGTTTCTTCTTCTAAACGTAAGTGATCTTCTTCCTCCTGGTTCTATACAAGTAACAAACTTTCATCAAGTCAAAAGATGATGCATAGATGATAGATCACAAAAGAAGAAGAGATGTATTGCCTGGAGTTTCACAGCATTATTGAGATCTCCACTAGCTGATCTTCGCTTCTGAGTAAAGAAGAGAGTTACCATAAGTTATAACGTAATCGAACTTCACCAACACTTTTTTTATTTGTCGTTCTAAAATCACCATTCACGTATATATTATATATACCTTGACTGCATGCATAAGTATTTCCTCGGGACCATAAGTTGAGTTCTGCAGTAGGTATCAAGAACAGAACCAAAATAAGCTATGTTTGCTTGAATGACAAGAAAAAGGCACGAATAGGTTCTTATAAACTAAAGTCGAAAGAAGTAGTAAAGCAAAATAAAAGCCGGAAGAAAGAAATAACCTTGGTGGTATCCTTCATTGTTGGATATATATGATGAGTTTCACTCTGTTGTGTCTATCAGACAAAGAGAGAAGAAAGTTCATGAGATGTTGATGTTTTTTAAATAGTTAATATTTGCAAGCTTATTGGAGCGGTGATATGATGCTAAGATCGACACGTCAGCTCCACAAGTCATGCCTTCATTATGCCAACATGTCTGCAGCTGCAACCTGTGTTTTTGTACAGTGTTCTGTCGAGGAGACTTTGGAGCAGGCAATTTATTTTGTCTAAACCGACCGGAACGTTCGCCAAATCGAAACCAAACCGAACAAAACCTAACCGAACACAAGATAATCAGGCCACAACTCATACAGACACAGAAATCAGCTAATGTTAGTGTTAGCTTAGGGTGATCTCATCCATCCGACCAAGAAAGGAATTAGTGAGTACTGAGTACTTCACATATTATTCACTGTTTTAAGATTAGGGATTGTTATGGACTTAAACAATCAACTTAAAACCGAGAGATGTTCAAGTATTTTCAAACTCGTTGGTTTTATGCATAATTTTGGTCTACAATAAATTCATCTGACCTTCCGGATCTTCTTAAGCCGTAGTTTGTCACTGATTATTTCGGTGAAAGATTTTGACCAATAACGAGGTGGATCATTTACAGTGGCTCTGGAACTGGAAAAGCCTTTTTGCAGAGCAGATTCCAGTTCTTCTTGCGAGTTCAAGCATATCTTTTGATTATAAGATGTTATTTCTCTGGAATGTAATCCAATTGTGTATTCTAAGATTGAAAAATACAGTAATCAAACATCAGATTTTTTCGGTTGATGACAATACATTATCAAAAACTATATCTACTGAAAACAAAAAAAAGACTCGTAGAAAGTAAACATCAAATAAGCCTGAGAGATCTGTACAGCAAAGAAGAGAAATAAACTAGTGTGAAAGAGACTGGACGCATCAATCTGCTGGTCTTTTTGATTCTCCGCTAAGCTCTCTCCGGACAAGCTTCAAGATCTCAATAATCTGCAAAGTCATTGGTATGTAGTCTGATCATAAAACCAATCTCAAATGGAAAAAGAAAGAATATGTGTAGAGAGAGTGAGCTTACGCCAGGGTAATGCTTTAGGATTGGAGAGTAATGATCGAGAGCTATATATATTTTCTCAAGAAGATCTAAGAGTGATTCAACCTCATCGCCAAGAAGATCAACCTGCCATTCAACAACCATATATAAACATCATTCTTTAATCCAACAGCAGTTTCTTCTTCTATTTAAAGGATATGAAGGCTTCGAGCTACAGACTGTAGAGGTTAATTATTGATATGGACACAGTTCTCAGACACACTACTGAATATTAACGTATCAGGGTTAGAGAGAATGAAAGAAGCTGTGGATGCATAGAGCAATCAAGACTCACCTCCGCCTCGGCTTTTTGGAGGTCAGATGACTTCTTCTCGAATCGTTGCTTGTACATCGATGCTTTCCCCTTCAGTTCACTGATTTGATGTGACAGATCACACAATTGATTGTGCATGTTTTTCAACCTAAGAGCCAAAGAAAGTTCTCATAAAGTACTATATTTATGCTATTGAATCAAGGGACAAAGTACTTGCATATCCATGTGTCAAGAAACGAAAGCAATGAGAGAAAACATTACCTGTAATTCGTTTTTTGCGTCTTTTCTGCTACCAAGCCCTCGAGAATGTTGAAACCTTGCATCAGTTGAGGAGGAACTAAGTCTAGAGACAGAAGGCGCTTCTTGAGTTTCTCTCCCTCTGCTTTTGTCGCCGATAGCTTTTCTTCGGTTTTCCTTTTCTCTTCTTTAGTTTTCTCCAAATTCTCTCTTGCTAATTCAAGCTCTTGTGTCAAATCGGATATCTTTGTCTCATAGCCTTCTATTTTCTGTATCTCGCGTGCCGACACAAGTCCCAGTGCTTCGTTTTTATCCTGAATTTCAGTTTGTTGCTGTTCTATCCGAGATTTCAGATCATTAATCTGGTGAGACACTACTTCAAGTTTCTTCCTCTCTATGGCCAAGTCATTCTCAGCTGTTTCGATTGAATCCTCCTTCTCCTTGACGAGACCCCCCAGCCGATGAATCTCCTCTTTCAGTCTTTCCTTGTCAACTATCTCTGATCTCAGAGCTTCTTCATTTTCTGTTGCATGCATGTTCAATTCTTCAATTTTCATATCAGCTTCTTTCAAGGCTTCTTTGTATATAACCGCATTACACTCCTCCACAATGAAAGACTCAACACAAGAGTCTACAAACTCATCCTTGCTTTCACGGGTTTGTTTACTCGCAAGATCTTCCAAAACCAACTCATATGCTTCTCTCAACATACTATGCTCTAAATCTGTCTCCTGTTTTGCACATTTAACATGGCCCACAAACTCCGTCACAAAACACCTATAAATATCTACAGAGATAGAAGCTTCAGTATGAGAATCATCAACATCTGATTCGAGCTTTCGAATCAACTTTTGGTGATCTGCCTCAACCAGAGAAAGCTGTGACATCTTTTCAGCAGCGTCTGAAAGTGAAACTTTCAGTTGGCGATTTTCCAGAAGAAGAGAATCCAGCCGGCTCTTAAAATCAGCATTGTTCTTTCCTTCAGACACCAACTTTTCATCTTCCAATAAGATCTTATCCAATTTCGAGATGACAAATGGGATCTTCTTTCTAAGCGCCTCTAGCTCCGTATCCTTCCCCACAAAAGAAAAAGAACCTCTTTCCTTTAAATTCAAGTACTTCCGCTTAAAGGTAAAACATTGCTCTGTCATCTCCTGTATCTCATAATCATGGTTTCTTTTCATTTTATTCATCTTGGCCTTGAAGTGGTTGAACAAATCATCATGTGATAAGTGTTTTAAACGCTCAAAATTCTCGGGTGTTAAGTCAACAGAACTGTCTTCATGCTTACCATTTGTATCCAAAACCGAAGAAGCTGAACTAAGGCTTCCCGACATCTTGCGGTGCAATTGCTCCACTCTTTTCCGGTCCCCTTTCTCCCCCGCCTCGATGTCCCCATTTTCATGATCAGAGAGCGATTTACGAATCGCTTCTAATTCCTGGCGGAGACCAGTAATCTCTTTGACATTCCCGAGTAACAAACTCTTCTTACCACCAAACTCAGCTTCTTGCTCCAATAACCTCTGTTGATACTCATCCTTGAGACTCCGAACAAAACTAGTCACCACACCAGACTCAATTTCTTTCTGAAAATCATGCTCCTGTTGCCACGAGGAGGGGAGCTCCATTTCATTCTTCCGTTTCATCACAGTCTCTAGAATACTCTTTAAGGAATCAAGCATTTTATCTACGGTTTTAGACTCGATCTCATCAACGGTGGAGTCTGCTCTATTGATATGGATATACTTTCTCAAATTGGTGAGTTCTTGAACGAGCATCACCAACTGTTTTCTCGCTTCAGTTTTCAGACTGCCTAAAGATCCTTGAGTAAATCCATCTGGAGTGTCCAAAGACGCCTTATCATGCATCAAACGGGACTCGGAGGCTTCAGTCTCTTCAGAGCCAACATGGTACAGAAACAGTGTCTCCCTGATTCTTGACAATTCAAGGTCTTTCTGAGCTATCTTCTCAGCAGCCTCGGACTCGATTGCATTTACCATTCCCCTTATAATCGAGTCGCTCACAACTCGTGAGATAGTCAAACGATCATTTATATCCTCCCAGTAAGAATCTAAATCCTCAAGAAAATCAACATTCGGATTCTCATTCTCTTTAAGAACACCATTAATCCGGACTATGTCATCATGAGACTCTAAACTACCATTCTCAGCCATCACAACCTCCTCTTCCTCCATAAGGATATTAAATTAATTCCACCACTCTTCTTTTTCCCCAGTATATATAGCCCTAAGGGAAAGAACAGTTTCCTTTAGTATGATTCTTAAAAAACCAAGCTTGACAATAAACGAAATCGAAATTGAATTAACAAGTTCTTTACTTTAACTGAAATTTCCTAGTTTCTTAATCGAGACCAATTCCATTTCGACCGAATTGAGATTTACAAAAGGAAAAACTTTGAAACCCAAAATCCAGTGAACATGACCAAATAAGGGACAAGCAGCTTACCTAGCGGAATTTCTCCGAAGAGAGTGTGAAGAAAACTCCTCCGGGAGAGCTACTACAGCTTCAATTTCAACGGTGAGTCTTCTTCCACAGTTTTAGGGTTTCGGAAGAAAACGGAAACAGAAGAGGGAGAAAGTGAAAGAGGCTACACACCTGAGCGGAGCGGGAGAGTCGAGAAGAAAGCTTTTGGCAGCAGCTCCCTTATTGAAGTTTACGAAAATGCCCCTCTAAAATTTGTCTTTATGTCTTGCCTTGCCTTGATAATATACAGTGTACATTGTGTGTATTTGGCTCTTTCAACATTTGACAAGTCTTATTTTATTTTATTTTTTTTCCATGCAAAATGTCGTATAAATAAATAAGTAATTAGGTAGCTTGTTCTAATGGGTCAGTCAACTTAATCCAACAAATTCAGTTCATTATGGATTTGTATGTTTTGTGAGTTGGGATCATTCCATTTTATTAGTTTCGTTTAGTTTATATTGTCGATTTTTACTTCAGATACTTAATTAGTTTATTGGGTTAAATAATTCAAATGGTTGACTCATGTAATTAAATACAATTCTATTGTGAAATTTTTAAAAAATGAATATATATATATATATATATATATTTTTTTAACTCAAATATAGATTTAAATTTGACCCACAAAAAAAGAGTATAAATACTCATTTACATGTGTTATTAAGAATTAAACATAAATAAATAATTCCAGTTAACTCATTAGTCGATTTCATAATCATTAAGGTGCTACCTAATTCGAAATGATTGTAGGCCAATCCACCTCATCAACTAATAAAAAATGTCAAAGTTAAGCCAATCCAGCGGTTGATAACTTCTCCTTTGGAATTTCGACTTTTTGGCCGATTGATTTTCGTAGCTTGACTCCTTTTTTACTTGTATAGAGAGTTTGTTCTAAGGATAAAGAAAATGAAGGTGCTTTTTTTGGATGTGGATTCTACTGTGCTCAAGACACCCTTCTAGATGATAAAGGAAGACATTTCTTCAAAGATTGTTTCATCCAGACGGTCCATAGATTTTCAATTTGGAAAATGGAAGCTCACTTTATCACGATAAAAATAGAACACATACGTGAGCATTTCAAATGATGACCATGAGAATATATATGAATCCTTTAGCAAAGGAGAATACACCATATACATGCACTTCCGGAGAATGTATGATTGATTCAATAGCAAAGGAGAATATATACACCATATACATGCACTTCCGGAAACGGATGTAACGTTTCTAACACATAGACTTTGGACCTTCATAAGACCATAATTTTGACTATATTCACTTAGCTTTGTAAGTATGTTAAGCATAGGTTCGATCGAGCGTGGAAAGGTATAAAATACTAATTATACTATCATTTTCACCTTCGGCCGCACCGAGCAAGCACGCACGCTTCTAGCAAAATCAAATTAATGCTATCACTGTCACATCACCATCCGTTGCAAGCACATTTTGCAGCTATACCAAATGCTCTCCGCAAATCAAACACGGCCTATAGCATAAGCCACTAAAGTGGTTGTTTAGGTCCTTTTACATACAATAGATAAGATGCTTTTGTTCCTTATTCCCATGCATGTGCAAATAATTGTTAAAAAAAAAATTGATCCCTTACAAATAGCTCCAGAATAGATATATACCCATTAAAAATATTCCAACCGCCTAAGTATAGAACTGTATATCTCAATTAATTACCGTGCATGTATATTGCCAATGGCAAAGAATCAAATACAATATTGCTACTGTTAGGATACATTACCATATCTATGAAAATTTGTAAATCCGGTTAGACCGGTTGAACCCGGTTGATCCATGACTAAAAAGCTCAACCGAAGTCAAACCAATTTAAAGTCAGTCCAACCATAATACCACACTTGGTTTAGTTTATCTTAAATAAATTCGAACAAAACCTAAACCGAACCGAACCTTCGATTTCGATACCGGACGCTTCAATGATGAGTCACAGCGAAAGATGTATATGGGGGAAACGGGCAGTCGGCAAAAGTGGGGCCAGGTGAAACTTGTGGACTGGAACAAATTGAGAATATATTCGGGCAGCTATTCAGATCTGCCCGTGCTTACCTACTATGGAGGTCTTGTCCTCTGCTCGCCACTTGTCCTAATAGTATTGCCTCCATTTTACTATTACACTTCCTGTCGTTTTCTCTCTCACAATCATGGTTTTGAGTTGACTTCTCAGTGTGAGTGACAAAAACGTCATGATGTTTATGAATGGCAGAGGAGGACGCTCTGAAGTGTAGGGGACTATGAGCTGAAAAACGACACGCGGTGTCCCCTTGTGTCTAGCCATTTAGGCCTCTGTTCGTCATTTCGTCTCTTCCTTAGAACCAAACAAAAAAAGAAGAGACCTTTTTATCGATTTTGTGAGGGTAAGATCCAGAGATTGAATCAGCTTAAATCATTTATAAAATCCAGGTAATTCTTTTGTTTTTTTTCCCACCACGATTTTGAAATTCTAGCTTTTGTGGTTCCCCTGTGCCTCTTGTAGTGCATCTCGTTTCCCCGGGAAATGCTTTTGCTGTGTAAGTCGGGATGTGGAAATTAGAAGTTCAGATGGTTTATTTGTGTTCTGGGTTTTGGTTTAGATCGTAGGATTGTAATTCTGGGGTTTTGGTAATTGAATTCCGATTCTCAAAGCTCTTAGCTTTTTAAGAGAACCGTGTACTGACTTTTGTGCTTTGTTGTTGTTACAGTTTGTTCCTGGGAGCTTTCAGACTTCTAACTAGGATTAAGGACTGTCATGAAACATGACTTCTTCAGTGCATGAGCTCTCTGGTTTTGTTTCTTTCTTGACCCATTCCTAGTCTTATTTTCTCCCCTTTTTGTGTTCTTTAGTTTTGGTTCTCTTCCTGACTTATTTACGCTTATTCTTGGTGGTTTGCTGATTGGCCAGATAACAATGAAAGTCATAAGAAGCAAGAACGTTCAGATTCCCAAACCCGACCATCGGTTCCTTCAGGACGAAGTTCTGAATCTATAGATACAAACTCTGTCTACTCAGAGCCGATGGTAATTTCTCTCTACCGAAACTATATTTCAAGTAGTTGTGCAAGACTAAATTTGGAGACTGATATTGCTTTCTGTTATGTGATGTTTGGTTTAGTTTCGTGTGATCTTGCTTGTGGTTATCAGATGTTTGGTTTTGTTTCGTGTGATGTGATTCTCAAAACTTTACAATGCCAAAACTTTCTGGACTTTTGTTTGAGCTAATCTAAGTAAGAAGATTTTGACTTCTTTCGTCCTGTGATTGGTTTTCTCACCTTTCTCTAAATTATAGTCTTAATGTGACTGTAAACTTTGACTGCTTGGGAAAACAGGCTTGAGATGCAGTGTAATTGTACTGATTCCAAGAAATGCTAACCTTTTTCTAATTGAAAATTTAGATGCTAAAGGATTTGTTTCTGTGTGTGTTGGTATTGAAGGCGCATGGGCTCTACCCGTATCCAGATCCTTACTACAGAAGTGTATTTGCACAGCAAGCGTATCTTCCACATCCATATCCTGGGGTATGTATTATATAACGCAGCCTTGACGTCTCTGATTCTGAATATTGAAAAAGCTTTGGTTTTTATTATAAAAATATTTTCTTTTTTTTCAGGTCCATATGCAGTTAATGGGAATGCAGCAACACGGGGTTCCGTTGCAATGTGATGCAGTCGAAGAACCTGTTTTTGTTAATGCAAAGCAATATCATGGTATACTCAGGCGTAGGCAATCACGGGCAAAACTTGAGGCACGAAATAGAGCCATCAAGTCAAAGAAGGTGAAACCTTTGCAACCAAAACCTGTATATTTTTGTTGTGTAGATTCCTTCCTAATATGTGTCTTATTTCTTGTATTTCAGCCATATATGCATGAATCTCGGCATTTGCATGCGATAAGACGGCCAAGAGGATGTGGCGGCCGGTTTCTCAATGCCAAGAAGAAAAATGGAGACCACAAGGCGGAGGAGGAGGAGGATGAGGCAACCTCTGATGAAAACGCTTCAGAAGCAAGTTCCAGCCGCAGGCCTGAGAAATTAGCCATGGCTCCTAATGGTAGATCTTGAGTAAGGTTCTTGCACAACCACGAGTTTGGTTTCTATATCGGGTGGATGTTTGCCTCATTGCATCATCGTCTTTAGTGTTTTTGGAACAGTCTTATGTAGACATCACATGTGTATAGTTTATTGCTTGGGGCAGCTAGGGTGGCTTTGTTTTTAGTGATTAGAAATAAAACTGAGCAAAGAAATGAAAATCTTGATTGAAAGTATTCTTGTACCACAATGATCTTCTTTGCCAATGAATTGGTGTTTCTTGGAAACTAAACTAATGTTCTTAGCTTTGTTTGCTATGATTTTGAGAGTAAAATTTGAAGTTTGTATTAATTCGTAGAGTACACTGTTGTTTTTCTTTTTCTTCTCTCTATATGCATTGCTATTTGCTAATCCCATGGATCAAAGTTTGTGAATGGTGATTGGTGACCGTAAACCACTCTAATCCGAAAATAGATTAATCTGCAGTGATCGCTGTCGTTATTTGTAAAACTGAAATAACATGAAGTATTCAAAAATTAATTTCATATCCTACTAAAGTTATTATATCAAGCATGTTGCTATTCGTTTCTCTATTTTTTTGTATCCTAATATTTGGTAGTATATGAAATGCAATCTGGTTAAAAAAAAAAAAAAAAAAAAGAAATGCAATCTGGTTGGGGATTTGAGGCAAAACAAGTATCTTTACGGCATAATGGTGACAGGTGACGCCAATACATATATTTATACTGCAAGTTCCTATCGTTCTACAATTTCAAAATTTCCAAAACTATAAAATAATTTTATATACTGTTAGATTGTTTCTATCCAGTTTCGGTTCGAATTTATTTCATCCGTAATTTGAATAAGAAATTTCAATTTGTTCGTTTTCTTTAGGAAGGTATAATATTCTTAGTTTGACACTTTATTATGCACTAAGCATAATCATTCCATTTCCAGACAATTTATATTTCTGAAGTCATGTTTTGTTCTCTTGCACCTTTTCTAATTATTTATTTATATATTCTGATTTAATAAGGTTCCTTAAAAGCATTGCTTTGATTTTCAGACAGCTTCTGACTGAAGTTTGGGTTGTTGGCTTATTGCGCTTTACTTACTGTCTCTTTGGAGTTTAGACAGTTGATGTGAAAATTTCAAAGACTTTCCAAACACAAAGTACGTTTAAGCAAAATCAAAATAATCTAATGTAATATATAATGAATGACACGTCTTACCTTCTCTAGTCTCTATATATATGAAGGAAAAATTGGCTTATTGTTCTAGGCTATAGCATTGAATAACTATATGTGTCGTTCTCATAATTAAAACAGATATATTTATATATATATATATATATATATCCAGTGAAAACCAATTTGTTCATTAATTGTGTCAAAGTCATATCTTGGGATGTTTTCTTCTGAGCAAAAATTTCAAAATATGACATAAAAGTGTAATAATTTGTTGGGGGGTTTGGTGTCGTTGTCATGGGTCCCGGTGTGATTCTATCTTCCTAGATTCGTTCGAATCCGACTTCCATAAAATGAACAGAGAAATTGTGGTAGTTTTTCTGTTTGTTCAATGAAGTAATACATATAACAATCTTAAGTCTTAACTGTGTACGACATTACTTCGTTCAGTGTCTTTTTCTTATATGATTTTGAAATTCATTAAGGAATAATAAGGTTGATAATTAATTACATCATCTGCCCAAAAAACAGCAACACCTACAATAAGCAATCAACTTTTTTTGTGCTTTTTACTTTCTTTTATTTTTGTGTGTGCATTGAGATTTATTTTTAGTTTTTGAGAACCAATCTCCACGATAAAGATCGTCTAATAACTCACATACCAGGGTTTATATAAAACTAAAGCATACAATATATATTTTTGATTGGTCAAACGGAGATGTAAAAGTTCATAGTGAGAATCAAACCCATGAGGGAGCAAGTTTAAGCCATGTTCGTGTGCTTTTAATGTTAGGCTATCCCTACATCGGTTTTATAAAAAAAATGTGTTAAATAAAAAGATATTGTTAGAATGTTTCCAACTGTCGACTGCATCAAAAGTTATATGCATTGTGGGTTAGGTCATATATACCCATAGATTGAGTGGTGTCGCGTGTGTGTATATTGGATTTATAGGAAGGTATATATCGTACATATGTTTGGTGTGAGTGAAGATGTATAACTCAAATCATAGGGAATGATTGCAAGAAAGTTTATTGGAAAAGAGCAACTGTATAATTTCTTCTTCTTCGTGGGTTTATGCGGTGTGGGTTCTATAATATGAAAGGTCTACTATATTCCTTTAGCTATAGGCCACTTCCCTTCTTCATCAAGCCATCACCATTTCGCACTATTTGAATATCTTCTTAACGTTCTTTTAACATAAAGACGTTTTTAACAGCGCGCTTAAAAGTTAAAACTCTGAATAATTTTAGATATATATATATATATATATATGTCTTGTATACTCTATCTAAGAAAAAAAATTATATAAATATAGTGTAAATCACATTTTAGTGGTCGTCCCGTTATATTTTCACAATAATCAACTTCATTTTCTTGCCATAGATAATATATTGTGTTAATATATTTTATTTTGGTGCTACCTAGCTAGCAACTAGTAAAGTTAGTAAATATATCCTAATGTGAGTTGCAGACATTGTATACAGAAAGAGACATTAATAAAAGAGTAATTATAAACTGAAATCAACTCGCTATCTCTTCTTGATAGATCATATGCTGAGATCATACCAATAATCGGCGATAAATATCTATAATTTGGTCTGAGATATAAAGATTTACTGTATTTGAATATTAAATATCTTGACTAAGGGATCATTATTTGATTGAATATAATTAATATATTTTGAGTTTTGACTAACGGATCCGTTAATTGATTGAAACGATCGTCTTCTTCAGGATTTTTCAAATCAAATTCAATGTTGTCATATGACGTAATGGAAACAAAAATATTTGTGGTACGTCTTTTATAAGCTCGATTGTTAACCTCATGGCGAGTGATATCCACAAACTTTAATCCCACTCATAATTATTATATGCATATATGAATATTATATGATCAATACAGTATATGCATGAGCAGCCTATCAAACTTGGAGCCTTCCTTTCTATCCATGCCTGACTTTACACCTCTATCATGCCCATGCATGGGTCCCTCTCTCCACCTCTATCTCTCTATCTCTCTCTCCTAAACACAAGAGGAACAGGAGAGATGTGAGATTGAAGCAAAGCAAGAAGAACACAATTGTGACTTGTGACAAAAATAGGGCTTTTCTTTTTTTTTTTTTTTTTTAAAAATAGGGCTTTTCATTTGACTTTTTTTTGTTAACTTTCATTTCATTTCATATAGTGATATAAAAAGACACTTTGTGCTTTTCCTTTCCATTGAATATGTGATTTCAATATCATTGCTGCATCGATTTCCCATTTATGGAGTAAACTCATGTTTTGTTTTTGGTTAACTTTGTATTGTATATATGGAGTTTATAATAAAGTTTGATTAGCTATTATGGGTGCTTTATTGTTGTATTTACTTTTATAGACTATATAACAAGAATTTTAACCGAGTCTATAAGTTAAATACGTTCTAATTTGTAGCTAACGTGTGGCAGTTATTTGTTATAGTTATAGGAATTTTAGTCTGATACTATAAACCAGTTTTTTAGGAACTTGCAGTTACATGGTATATTTCGGTCCAACTCTGACCATCCGTTAAATACAGCGGTTGGTCAGAGTTGCAATGTCTAATTGTGTTAGAGTTGCAACGACGCCACAATCTCATTATAATCATAATAAGTAAGTTGCAATGTCTAATTGTGTTGGTGATACTATGCAGAATGATTAGATTTAACGATGGTACGATCTCCCTAACTTTCATATATTTCACTCGATGTTATCTGATAATTTCTACCCAACTGATCATAGTTTGAATCTAAATTAGACATTAGACTGCACTCATTGTTTTTCTCTCAACTTATTCAGAAATAGTATAAAAATATGTCAGAGCTTTCCGTTCGAACTTTGGCGCCATGAAATTAGGTTTTTCAATGGTAGTATATCCCGTTAGTATTGAATGTTTAAATACCATTGTTGGCAAAGATAAAGAACAAAATATGTTTTGTAACCAACACAAAAAAATGAAACTTATAAACATGAATCTTTACCCATAAGACCATAATCCACATATGAAATGAGATGCAAGCGTAGATATATTCATCAATATGTATAGATATATAGATATTGTAGGCAGCTCCAAAAAGAAGTATATCAATGGTGGAAAATGACACCAACAAAAGAAAAGAATACATTGCAAATTTTGGGTAATCAAGCAATGTATGTAGTGTGTGACATGGGAACAAGAGTAAGTGGACTTGGCCCAGTGGGGTACTCTTATGCTCCATGCCTCTTGCTAAAACTAAAAAGTTGACACCACAAATAAATATATCGATAAAGCCAATTATTATTTTGTAAAGATAGATATTGTCAAATTAAAAGGTTTGACATTCTTTTTTTTTTCCTATAGCAACCAAACTACTCACTCTATTTATACTTTTTCTTCCCTTATTATGAAAGCATCCAAAGCCTTTTAGAAAAGAGCAACGCATAATGTATGATGTGTTTATGGGTCTATAGCTGTATTCCCTTTCAGAGGATTCGAGCCGAGGAAACAGGGAACAGTCATATTGCAAAATGCCGACTCATTAATTATTATAGACCTAATATATTTAAGTTACCGAATGTGGTGTTTTACGAATGCTTTAGTGCTGATTAATCATGGGTTGAGAGCATATCCCTTCAATAACATTCTATAATCGAGTCCATTTTCATGGAAAAAAAAAACAACTAACTTGATTTCCAATAGAATAACCGATGTCAAAACAATATATATGTATTGGTTTAGAATCAGATTATGAAAACTCTTATAACTAAACTGATATATGCTCAAATAAGTAAAATATGTTGGTACGTCTGAAATTGAATTAAGAACAACTCTTTTTCGTTTTTTCTTTACTCAATCTTACTCAATACTTAAACTATTGTGATGCATTAGTAAAAAAAAGTTGCTTGTAGATAGAATTAGATTTTGTACGTCTTTTGATTTTCATGCATTTGGCTATTATAGTTTTTGTATAACGTATGTGAATCCATGTCATCTAGTTCCGATAATTGGGAAGTTGGTAACACATAAACTGAAAAAGATTGAACTGATAACGTATTTCCACATATTGTTACCTACCAATTAAGTAGAATTTTACGAAATCAAGATATATGTTAAACGGTTGTTAATTATTGTAGCAACAAAATTTACGATATTGTATCACTCTCAA